CTAAACCATCTTATATATTTAGGTGTTAATAAGTAACAGTGCGGAAAAATGCTTGAAAGTATTCAGAATGAAATCTGCTCCTGGCTCTCCTCCTAGAAGACGACAGCTGTATGTCAAGTCTTTCATATCGCCAAAAAAAATATTAAAAATGACAAGTTAAGCAAATATATTTCTTTAAGATTCATTACTGATATATTGTAGCTTTGATTTTTTTTTTTTCAAGATCCATTATATCAAGTAGTTCACTCATAAACTTAACAAACTAGGCAGTTGTTGTATCTTTTGATGCTGGCTAAGTGCTGTCAGCGACATCTTCAACCTCTTGTACTAATCGGTGCCCCGCTATTGAATTTTAAACGCAAATCACTGTAAATAGTGGAATATTCCTTATTTGTTCAGAGAGATGAAAAAAAAAAAAAGATACTAAAAATATACTTTATTATTATTACACTCTCAACTTCTTTTTCATGCCTTTCCAGAAGGCACTTTGGTCCTTTGGATGAACATCTTGATCTAACCAATTCTTTGATTCTATCTTTCTTTGTATTTCATCATAATCACTTGGCTTCCAAACAGCATTTTGTAAATCGTCAATTTCTTTAGACACGGATAATCTTGCTTGTAATTGATCTGTAAACTCCTTATAGTACATTGCATCCGATATTTCTTTATCTAGTTCATGTAGACTTGAAAATGATTGAGGTCCACCCACCGCATCCACCGACATGTGTTTGTACACAGGCAGTCGGGAGGACGACGACGTGCTCTCGGTCACAGCTGACCTGGGTCTAAATGAGGTATTAGGTGACTCAACAGGTATAGGCGGTAGAGGTGCCGAAGGAGGAGGAGATGCAGGAGGGAGCGCTACGCCTTTCCAACGAGCGATATGCGACCTTCTTCTTTGTTGCGAGCTTTTAGAGGCGACAGACGAACGAGCGGATGCGCGGTCAGTGTATTCTTCTTCTTCATCTTGTTTATCTGAAGCCATGCTTGATGTCGAGATGACGCTTTCGCTTTTTCTACTTGGGTACATTTGCTTTATCTTTTGCTCGTACATTTTATTGACGACTTCATCTTTTTCTTTCAGCTGGTTTATCAGTGTCTCTACCTTGGCCTCAATATACATTGACTGTGACTGACATTGTTTCTTGAGTTCTTTTGCTGACTGCTCCATATCCTCCATCTTAACTTCGCTTTCTTCTAGCCTATCACTAATCGAGACGGCCATCATCTCATACTCATCCTTGGCCGTATTCAGTTCTTCCAGTATCTGCCGTAAGTCGATTATTTCTCGTTGTACGTCTCGAATGTCGATCACGTCGCTTACAGACTGTTGTGCTCTTAGTGTTTGGTTTTCTTCAGTCAAGTATTCAATTTGTTCTGATAGCTGTTCGATAAGAGCGCCTTGCATCATCAACAGCTGACTCTGTTGTTCACTCCGTGACTTGACCGTACTTAGTTCCTTGAGTGTATCTTCATATTTGTCCTGAAGCTCAGCAAGTTGTCTCTTTTCAGAACTGGGTATCGTTTCAGTAGTAGGTATCATATGAGGTGGTAACTTTGTTGCATTAAAATCCGATTTTCTGCGTACAGTTGGGTTAAAGGTAGAGTCCTTATCTTGTGAGCCAGAGGATGTTGACCGAGAACGGCTGTCTGTCAACTTTTTAGGCTGTGGTTGTTGTTCAGTGGGTGTAGCGTTTGGGTCCTCAAAGGCTTTATTTAGTACAGAGACGACAGCTAAACTCTTGATACGTTGTAGTTCTTTATCAACATGGCGTTGAGTGATCGATTGCTTTTTCGTACGCCACCTTTCGTTTGTTCCTGAAGAAGAGTCCATAATAAAATTATAAAAAAAGAGAGAGAGAAAAGAAAAACGAGATTCGGAGTTGTTGTTGTTATTAGCAACAATAATACAATGATTTAACTTAAATGGAGACCAATTAAATTTATTTGTGGACGAGGTGATTTTTTTAGAGTTGTTTTATAAGACGATTATGCCAACAGCTCTAATAAATGAATTTAATTTAAAGCCTCCTTTTTTTTTTCATAGACTTGCATGTCTCCAGCTGCAGTTACTTTTGACAACGTAACATATTCTTATGATGTTTTTAAAATAAGTGTATGCTTTCATTCATTGCTTGGATTTGATAGTAATAATGAGGACCTTAAAAATGCCTCAATTTCATATATGTATCTGTTTACGAAATTCATGAATATGCTATTTTTATATATAACAAAAATGATTTCGTTGGATCGTCTTTGTAGCTTATTTCAGTGTTTATGCCTCTTATATGCAAAGAAAGATTCCTAATAAAAAGAAAAAGATGAGCATTATTAAATGTTGTCAATGTTATTCTTATCAGGTTAAAAGAAAGTATTCTCCACTATAAAATACATATCAAGCATACCCTCCGTCATTTTCAGTAATTCTTTGGCTTTTTTGGCTTTGTTGTATGGATGGTAGGACAGGTAGATGTTTTGTTTAGGCGTGATTATTTACCATGAAGATCGACAAAACGATTATGCTTAACAATAGAAACGTAAAGCAATAAAGTTAATTGATCTAAATTCGCCTCCAATCTAAAGCTAAACAAGAGAGAGAGTTTCCCCTCCTCGGGATCGTCATTTGCTTAATTGGGTGGTTCAATAAGGTTTTACTTTGTGTCAATAAAAAAAAAAAGAGGGAGAAATGGCGCTATTCATTTATGTACCAGTAAATTACATACATGCTCAATGTTTATCTTTAATGTGATACACATACAAAGGAAAACCTTTTTATTGTTCATGTATACCCTCTTGTAGTCTATTCTCCCCTTAATTATTTCTTGTGCGTATATGAAAGAAAAAGAGAGAGAGAGAGAAATGCACCTTAAAATACACTTATAATAAAAAAAAGAAAGATTTTTTGTCTTTCTTTCATCAATGAAAAAGTTTCGTATTAAAAAAGAACCGTTCAGTCGAACAGGCTTCTTTTTCACCTTTTTAGGTTTTCTACTCATCTTGTTATGTTTAATTGGTTGTCAGACACCTGGATCAAAAAGTCTTTATTTTGTTAAAGTAACAGATGCACCCAGTTATAAAGGATCACCCATGTCAGCTTATTATGGCTGGAGAGGATATTGTATTGACGATGGACAAACAAACTGTTATGGTCATGACGTTCTTGTAGTGCCATTAGGTATACATATATATATATTTATAATCATGACCATCATCCATCTCATTCTCCTTTGATTAGATGTCTCCATCAGCAACAGTCTCAACATCACTTATCCCCGACTATTTACCGATGCCGTCAGTCCAGATACTGATCTGAATCCTGGAGCAGCGCCCAATCCAGCACATGATCCCAAGATATTTCCAGCAGCTGTACTTTGTTTGCTCTGTAGTGGTGTCTCCCTCTTCTTGGGAATTTGGAAATGGTATCAACCTCATAAATATACTGACCAACACTATACACGTGGCTTCTTGGCAGCCTCATCCGCTGTACTTGCTCTCTTACTGATCGCTCTCAGCTCAGTCATGTATCAGAATGCTGTCTATGAGCTCAATGTGATGTATCCCAACTTGGTTGCAAGTGAGGGACCAAGTATGATCATGGTGGGTGTTGCCTTTGGCTCATTCTTTATAGCCGCTATTGGATTACTCAGAGGTGTACTTAATGCAGATATGAATGCTGAAGGTTATAATGCTATTTAGCTTTTCTTTTTATTAAATTTGTAAATAAACATGTTGCTTTTTTTTATAATAATTATATGTAAAATATAGGCCTTTCTTAATAGAATTCTTTATCACTTCTTATACGCTTTGGATTGCTATTCATGATTGTAGATGCTCTCTTTCTTGAGTTTTTGCCTTGTTCTTCAGGTTGAGAAGAAGAAGGAGGACCTGTGGAGATATTAATGTGGTGATCAATATATAAATATTTATACTTACCAAAGGTATTATTATTATTATTATTATAATATTTCACTTCGGGTGGTGGACTTGAAGGAAATCCGATCTGTCTTTGTTCTTCTGATTCCTCTTTTCCATCCATCAAAGATCGACGTTGATAGACTGGAGCGAAATGAGAAGGATTATCATGTACATGATAAGGAGGTTGATTTCTATTTAAGCGATAGTCGTGAGGATGATTGATCAGGTACATACTACCGTTTTCTGGATTATGGTTGTCATGATGATGGTGATGATTATTATGATTATGATTCTCTGTAGGAGACAGTGCACGCATGGTCACTATATAAATAATGTTGGCTTATATACATATTTATTTGTTATTTACACTTACTTTCTTGATTGATACTAGGCAAATAATGCTGCTGAGGGGATTTCCCCCATTGCTGTAACTGATAGTCATTTTTGTAATAGCCTTTGGATGGCAGCATAAATGGCAAATTCGTATTCGTGGGCGCTGTTGTAGATGAAGAGGATGGAGGAGGAGGGGGTATTGACAGAAAAATGGAAGGATCTTCGACAAATAGAGGATAAAGAATATCAAATATTCTGAATTTTGTGGCTAAATCTTTAGCTCGACTAAAGGTTATCCTACACATAAAAAGTGTTATGAATCGGTTTTATAACTTGAAGAAACTTACCAGACGCCCTTGAGGTGCATTGCTCCTACTTTAACGACCACGCGACCTTTTTCGTTCTTCAAGATGCCATCTCGTTTACCTCGAGACATACCAACGACATTGAGCAGTTTAGTGCCGTTGATCATATCATTATCTATAAGAGATGAGTCATTATATTGATGTGGGAAGGCAAGGGTTACCTTGGCGACGAGCTACGCAAACGCTCTTGGCGTCGACTTGGTAACAGATTGTGCCTTCGTCTTCCCAGACGGTTGTAGTCAACTTGGGCCGTTGGGGAGGAGGCATGGTAAAGGATGTGTTATAATTATGATATCCGATTGCCTGGGGACGGGATGGGGGAGGTAGTGGCGAAGAGGAATTCCAAGATAATCCTAAAGAGCTAGGAGTTTCATGTTGTCGATGATCGTCTTGTGTTGCATTATCATAAGGTCTGCTGTGAGAACTCTCTGATAAAGAAGACGAACGAAAGTCTGGAGAGGATATCATGTAGCTGTTGGTTGAGTTGGATGAAGAATATACACTATTCGGATAGATGCCTTCCATCTTTATATATTTAAACAGATGAATTTTATTAAGGGTCAAATGTGTGGCAATATATAATAAACTTACATTTTTGAAATATATAAAATATGTAGAATGATTAAAAAAAAAAGAAAGGAAGAGTAAGTAAAGAAAAAGAAAAAAGGGACAAAAGAAAAAAAATAAAGTTCTTTTTTTCTGTTATAAGCAAAGTATAAATGTGTAAGTGGCAAAATATGTTTTAATTGTTTACATGTATCTCTATGCTTTAATTGATTATCTGTCTATTTACTGCAGCGGGCATTACCTGCATATATTGAGACCTACCTATTTACGGATGAGTTACCCGAGGGCTAAAGAAAAAAATATTTTTTTTACCTTTTTAAACTATTTCTCCTTTCCCTTATAAACGAAAGCATGAAATAAACATGGTTTCATAGATAGAGCAAGTGTCAAGCCTTGTGATAGTATATACATCTTTACCTCGTTTGACCAAAATAAATGCAATGCAAGGCAATGCTATGCAAACCAAAAAAAAAAAATAAAAATAAAAAACAGTTCTCTTTAAGCAACTTTTTTTTTATAAAAAGAAATAGATGAAAATGACTAAAAGTATACGCATATGCAGGATGATGCATTAAACAACTAAACTAAAAAAAAATTCTTTATTCAAGAACAAAAAAATGCAGGAGATGTTATTGAATACTTGTGATTTCCAAATGCTCTTTTAGTTCTTCCAGTTGCTCCTCTGTAACATCATTTTCAAATTCATCTTCATCGTCTTTTATTTCTGGTTCAATGTCTCCCATCTTGACGAATATAAAGTTCATGATATCATCTATGCATTCTGTCAAAGTGAAATCTGCAATTTCCTGATCTATATTGATATTTATATATATATATATATATATATATATAAAAGGTGAGTCCTTTTTTTGCTTACATAGATGAAACCTTACTTGACGAAATGCATGTGCAGCCAAATCTGGGATCAGTAATTATCCCTCCTTTTTCCTTTTGGCTCACAGTCCAGTTGACGCAGTTCTGTTAAAGTGGTTATTAAGTTACAATCAAAATATGTATACATGTATATTACATCAAATAACCATGTACGAAGACTAGTGTTCTTAATCATATCTCTCGAGTGAACACTGTTGGCCATGGCTGTACATATAAATCTATTCTTGTATTCAGCAACTACATAAAGTAAGTTAAAATCGGATATACATCAAACATTCATGTATAGAACTGTACAGTTTACATCCAAAGCTTGAGTTAACGCATGTCCTCCCCAGTCAAGTGTCAATGCAGCCAATTTCTGCGCCTTGGCATGTCTATGTTGTTTATGTGTTTAATAAACACAACAGACGTATACACGTGTTTTAACTTGCCTTATAAAATGGTCAAATACATAATGACAATGTTCTTCAGGGCTTTCACTACCTATTTTATGTGTAAGCCTGTATTTTGTCTTTTTTGTTGGTACTTACCAGGCACAAGTGTAATGTTGACGCTATGTGGTTCTGGATATTCCTGATAAATATTATTTCACTGCATGTGGGAAATATTGACCTTGTCTTACCCATGCTCTGTTGTTATACCAGTAATTCCCATTGGGATTGAAGATGATGACTTCATACCCTTTCTCTCTTACTCTTCTGGTTGTATCCATCACGGATCCTGCCTGTTTAAGTTTTATTATGAGTTTATCTATAATACATATCTTTTTTTTGAAAAAAATTCCTTACATAGATGTTTTCATCACACATCACTCTTCTACTCCATTGCCCAATTCTATTATAAAGTGCGTGTAAGGATTATTTCTTGTTACTCATCATGATTTACCTTGTATTGTTGCCAGCAATAAAGAGAATCAATTTATCCGTGGTTGTTAAAGCATTAGGTCTATAAGTTCAATTAGCACACAAGTATTAGTCCTATACAGATGTAATCTACGTCATGTAAATATAGGAGTGAGGATCCTTGGCTGGATCAGCATCGACAGGAATGATCTTTTTTTGGAAATTAAAAGGCTCCTCTACAAGTCTCTTTTCTACTTCCTCTCCAATGAGATCTAAACGAGTGTTGATTTACAGTCTTTTTTTAAATATTATTATTCTTACTAATAAATGCTTTATAACGTTGTTCATTATAAGGTCTGTCTTTGGGTAAATATTCAAATACATATGGTTCATCTATGGTATGTCATTAGTACACATGTCGCGTCTTTTTTTTCCTTACCTGTTGTCTTGCTTCTGATCTCTCCATTCTCTTTCAAGACATAACCAAAGCCTTCAAGCGTGTCCGGTATCTTTGGCTTTTCTTCTTTGACAACCTTTTTTCTTCTGTACATTGTAGAAATATCTAAATGGATAAAAGAAGTACAGGTTGACCAAATTAAGCTTTTTTATATATATGACGTGCGCTGATTGATTATTATTCCATCGTCAAGTAATTGACTTGTATTTCTTTAGTCCATAACTTTCAATGTATTTGGCCCAATATTTATTGGATGACCAAGGGTCTTTTTTTGGACTTTTCTCTCCTACAAACTCTTCTATAGCTTATACACACAATCTAAAGATAGATTTATGCCCTTTCTTAAGATTTTCAAAAAAGGGGACTTTAGGTTTATTATCAATGAATCAACCGAGCTCTTTGTATTGCCGCCTTCTTTTGTCAGGCACATGTGCTCAGGGGGAGTGAACCTTTCATGTCCTTTCCGGGTAAAGATGGAGTATGAATTTGTCCTTCTCACTGGATCTCAAAAATTGATCTAACTTTTTTACTGGCGACTGTAACATACAACAATCATGTCAAAACATAAATATTCTTTAAAGAAAGAGAGAAAAAGAGAGAAAGTAGTCCTAAATACTAATTTATGTACGCACAAAAGTAGCTTGTTATTTCATCGCTCTCTTATTGCTCTTTAATCAAATGTCTGTAAGATATATATATATTTATATATATGTGTGTGTGTGCAACTTAAAACTGACAACATTTTTTTCCCCTTCTTTCTCTCTCTCTTCTTCTTCTTCTTTTTTTTATCATACCCTCTTTTTTTATATATATCACAGAGATACCCTTTTATATATAGTACCAAATGCTGGATTCTGTAACGCCTTCACAAAGTGTCTCTATTACTTCTATTGCAGGACAACAGCAAGTACTCAATATACCCGAGAAAGACGAAATTTGGTCAAGTATTCTCAAAGACGTGGCTGCAACTAAAGTCGTGCCTACCAAAAATGTCTTGATTCTTGGTAATTCTTCAAAATATGTCTTATTTTATTTAACCTCTCATTTCTCAAAAAAGGTGAACCTGGTGTGGGTAAATCAACCTTGATTCATTACTTACGAAATGATCCTGGCCCACAACAACCAAAAATGACAGTGGACGAGTCAGCACCTGTGAATAACAATATCAAAAGTCATTATACCCAAAATATCAAAACACCTATTGACTCTCAAGAGAAACGAAATGATTTGGCTCTGGGGTATTCGTTTATAGATGTCAAGGACGAAGAAAATGAAGGTAAACATGATATATATATATATATTTATATATACATCTGGGCTAAAATATATCTCTATAGCCGTGGCAAGACTGGGCTGCTATCAACTGGGATTATCTTCCCCTGAATTTTTACCACTCTTGAAATTTGCTATACGATCTGAAACAGTTGCAGATGCTTGTGTTCTCATTCTATTGGATTGGACACGTCCCTGGAAATTTATGGAAACTTTGATGCGTTGGATAAATATTACGAATTATCTCGTAGATGAGATATGTAAAGAGAATACAAGTGGTGCTTGGAGTCAAGGCAAAGCCATGATGGATGAGCTAAGAGAGACATGTAAGTTAATCTTACAGGACCGCATATATTTACATTTTATAATGTAGTGGAACATTATTTACAAACATACACTGAGCCATCCAGCGGAATGATCTTGACAGCTTCTACTTCTACAAGTTCCATTGCCACAACCAACACGACCTTGACCAACTTGAATACAGCTACATCCAATCATGCTGATCAAGTCGTCCTACCTTTGACTCAAGGTTGTCTAACTACTAACCTTGGTATACCTATCATTGTTGTTTGCTGCAAGGTATTTTTATATTTATATATAAACATGACTCTTTTAAGTAAAAAATTTATAATAGAGTGACGCAATGAATGTACTGGAGCAAACACACGATTACAACGAAGATCAATTTGATTTCATTCAACAATGCTTACGATGCATTTGCATGAAATGTAAAATAGATAGAGAAAAGAAATGAATATACACAAGCATGATTAACCTTCTTTCTTTTAGATGGAGCCGCTTTATTCTATACTTCCAGCTATCAACCTCATACCTATCATCATCTTCGTGAATACATGTTGCATCGTCTATTGTCCAACAATAACAAAACATATCCATTCAATGTCAAAGCTCAGGTCATCGAACGTGAGACCGTCCTGGTACCTTCCGGATGGGATTCCTGGGGAAAGATTAAAGTGCTAAGAGAGGGATTTGATTGTGAAAGCCTGTCAGAAGGCTGGGATGAAAACATAGATGCCTTGGCAGATGGACATCAACCGGTAAATACATCGGGTGCCTTGGGTATCTATGAAGAAGCCATTCCTAATGATGATCTTGGTAATCAGGTAAAACAAAGAAATGAAATCATAAAAAAAGTGCTCATTCTGTTGTTTGACAGCCTCAACATATCTCTGCTGTCACGGTCTGTGAAGATGAGCAAGCATTTTATGAGAGACACTTTGAAACGCTTCAAAAGACAAATGACACTATGCGCAAAAACGGTAATAGTAAACCTGGTCTAGTCGGTCCTATTGGTATCACTTCCACAGCTATTGATCTAACGCGAATTGATCCCAACAAAAAAGTAAAATACATTGATATAGTGTGTACACATATGCTTATTTACTTTATCAATTCAGGAGCTTACTTTAGACAAGAGTTTGCTGAAAGGCATAGTAGCAACCAATGGTACATCTACAAATGGAAGTACGACCCCTACGTCAACAGCTGCATCCAATACAATACCCTCACCTGTAGCGGCTGCCACTCCACAAAGTGGTCCCTCACACGAAATCATTGCCAATTTCTTCCAATCGCTTTTAACCAAAAAGGGACCTTCTGGTGGAGCTGCCTCACCTACCGCGTCTCCTTTACTCACTGGTTTACCGCAGTCCAATGGCCGTGAAGAACCTCATAGACGACCTACGATCAGTAGGAAAGATGTACATAAAGAGTTGGATCGAATGAGACAATATACTTGATAAATAAACCGTGATTTTATGTGTAAAGTATGATTTGTTAATGTTTCCATAAATTGTATTGAAGCTCTTTTCGAGGTTTTGATATCTCATCCAAGACGATCTTCATGACGTCTTGTTCTACTTTTTCCATACTTGAACTTGCATCAATAAACTATTCTGGGTGATTAACCTTCATATATATAAAAAAAATGAGATGCTATTACCTTCCAACTATCATCTTTTAGCTTTCTGAACTCGGTTCGGACTTTAATCTGCAAGTCTCTCTTCTCATATCGCTCTTCTCCAAATCCTCCTCTCTTCTCTGCCTCATTGATCGACAAGTCCAGAAATAAGACGAGATCTGGTGAAAGAAGACCAACGTCAGGATGCTTACACCAATCAAAGTCCAATCCTTTTGCAACTGAGAAGGCAACACCTGAATAAGCATATCGATCAATCACGAGGGTTTTGCCAGCTAAGAGTTTCTCTGAAATAGATTTCCTGCAAAAAAAAAGAGACAATTGCTTAGAGAAACATATTTCCTTTTTGGTATTATCTATTATTTACATGGCTTCCCAACGGTTTGCAGAAAATAATAAATGGATAGCGTGGTCATCAAGGTCGCTTTTCTGTCTCAGATAACTGTCAATCATTTTTCCAGTCTGAGTTGTTCTATCTATTCAAATACAAGGTCAGGACAGGACATTACAAGACATGACTAGATGTCTATTACCTGGAAATTTGACAAGTTCAGAATCTATATTACGAGATTTCAAGTTGTGAACAAGTAGCTCACATTGTGTTGATTTGCCTGAACGGTCACATCCTTCAACTACAATCATCAATCCTCGTGTCATCGTCTTGAACTGTTTAAGAAAAAAAAATTGTTGCAGGAAAGAATTGGCATTAAATATTCGCGTCACTGCATATCTTTTTTTTTTTTTTTGTGCATAAAAGACAAGGGGATATTTATACATGGCATAAAGTTGAAGTTGCATTATATTCAATAGTTACTTTAATATCCGCTAGGACACATCCCTCAACTGTCGCGTTTTCTTTTATGTGTATAAAGTAGCCAAGGGTTACCTGACGCATTAAAGTTGAAATACTTTATGATTATTTTCTAGTTGAGTATTGTTCTTGATGCTTCCTCTCTCCCATCATTAGCCAGTAAATTAAGCTGTATGTTCTTTCATCACTGCTGGCTCAGCCTCGGTATTATCTCAACGCCAGGTAATGCTCTGGTGGAAAAGTTTATTGGACCACCCCTTCTTTTTGGAAATCCTGTCACCTCTATTGACTCTATGTTGCTACACTCTTTCCGGAAAGTAAATTCGCCTGTGATCGAAAATATATGCGCCCAACGGTGAGAACAAAACTCATGCTGTACGAAATGCAAATTCGTCGTCGTCAGGAATATTTTCCTAGTACCAGCCTTGACATCTATGGATACACTGTATTTCCAAAAAATAATGAGACTGAATGTCGTGCTTTCCAAATTTAGATGTCGTATTGAAACCGTTGTAATGTTATCAGAGTAATAACAAATACAAAAAGAATATGGCTCACTATCCCATTTGACAGTAATATTAATAGATGGGCTGCCTTGGAGTTGAAATTAACTTAATATTAGAAATTGCCCTCTTTAATCTCTTTGTAAAAGTTTAAGTTCTTTATTCGGTTTTTCTATATAGTCATATTTGGCAATGCATATCCTTGAATAATCACCATGTAGATTTCTCCTATTTGATATGATTTCTTTGTTCCAGGTACCTGATCCTGAAGCTTGTTTGAAAAAGAAAAACATATAAAAACCCATTTTAATTGGGTCCTTTTTTTGCTTCTTTACAGCAGTTATCAAATGTCCCTCTGAGTGTTCAAAGATTCACTAATCAAAACTAGCCTGTCCTCATGGTCCTTGCTCTGACTCGCTTATCCCGCTCTCTTTGCTCTCTGGCTTGTACCTGGAGCGTTCTCCCAATTGCCTCTTCTTGTGCTCTGGGTTCTCTCTGTCCTCCGTTCCTTTTTTTTTTTTTTTTGTTTAAACAATCCTGGGTAGTTATCGCTACCCTCCCCAGACTGCGCCTTGGCGGTAAGTAAAACTAATATTAGGATATGTGCTCTAATACTAACATACTTCTTCTCTCTTTTTCTACATATACTCATTATCTCCCTCTCTCTCTCTCTTTTGACATGATGTCGTTTTATTCAAACGTGATTTTCTTTGTCGTCTTTTTACGTAAATGATTTTTTTATTTTACGACAAATTTTATAAAACTAACGTCAATAATTAATAAAATCACAGTATTGAAGCTTTATCAGGATTAGGGGTAGGGGTTCTATCGTAGTTTGTGATGTGTAAATCACATCTGACCTGCTACCTTCCGCCCATTCAGTCTGAGCTACAGAGTAGCTATTGTCGAGAACATCTGCACCTATAAGCAACTTGCGTATTAGATGGATACAGTATTTTTATGCGAACAATAAAATGCACTATCAACTAAAGAGTGAACAACAGGATCTATGATCTTGGCTTCACAAAGCAATATCTTACTCATCAGATCTGTACCTGGTCTCCAGTTTTAAGGTAGATTGAAATCTTCTGTATCTTGGATTAAGTTGGAACGAGTTTTGCAAGTAATTAGTTTCCTGAATATATACAAAACTAAATTAGTTAACTTACAGTATTGAATGGATACTGTGCTATCAGGAAAAAAGGAAGGAAACTAAAACGACCAAAATAATTAAGCAAACACTTGGTGCACTCAAAAATAGACTAATGCTACGGGCACTACCTATGATGTCGCCCAACAAAGCTTTTCAATGTATAGCGTCAAGCTAAACATGAGTCTATGAAGTTGCCATCTTGAACTGTGTCTTTTCAAGAAGAAGAAAGAAATAAAAAAGAAATGTTGTTATTTTTTATTCTAATTTTATGTTGTCAGTTTGATCAACAAAGAACCAAGGTCAATCATGCACAATTATGGTATATACGTATTTTATATCAGAGAGCGGACTGAACAGCCTTAGGTTAGACTTTGGTAGTGTGAAGTCGTAATGACAACATAGATAACGCCCCAAGGAAGCGCTCCTAGCATTAGCCTATTTTTGAGTGCATTTTTGAGTGCACCAAATGTTTGCCAATAATTACACGCCACTGCTTTACCGTCACCGTCACTGCCTTATCTCTCATCGTTACCGTTACCGGTGTGTCTAACCATATCTCTCAGAAATAGCAAAAGTGCCTCTAAGTACTTCATTATGATGCCTAATCATATTGTGTGTACTCTGTAAAGACAGCTACTTGTTGGCTGCAGAATTAAGAAATAGTTTAGGGAAGAACACCACTGCGCTAGGTATACTCGTTTATCATACTATATTTTTACGTAAAAAGACGACAAAGAAAATCACGTTTGAATAAAACGACATCATGTCAAAAGAGAGAGAGAGAGGGAGATAATGAGTATATGTAGAAAAAGAGAGAAGAAGTATGTTAGTATTAGAGCACATATCCTAATATTAGTTTTACTTACCGCCAAGGCGCAGTCTGGGGAGGGTAGCGATAACTACCCAGGATTGTTTAAACAAAAAAAAAAAAAAAAGGAACGGAGGACAGAGAGAACCCAGAGCACAAGAAGAGGCAATTGGGAGAACGCTCCAGGTACAAGCCAGAGAGCAAAGAGAGCGGGATAAGCGAGTCAGAGCAAGGACCATGAGGACAGGCTAGTTTTGATTAGTGAATCTTTGAACACTCAGAGGGACATTTGATAACTGCTGTAAAGAAGCAAAAAAAGGACCCAATTAAAATGGGTTTTTATATGTTTTTCTTTTTCAAACAAGCTTCAGGATCAGGTACCTGGAACAAAGAAATCATATCAAATAGGAGAAATCTACATGGTGATTATTCAAGGATATGCATTGCCAAATATGACTATATAGAAAAACCGAATAAAGAACTTAAACTTTTACAAAGAGATTAAAGAGGGCAATTTCTAATATTAAGTTAATTTCAACTCCAAGGCAGCCCACCTATTAATATTACTGTCAAATGGGATAGTGAGCCATATTCTTTTTGTATTTGTTATTACTCTGATAACATTACAACGGTTTCAATACGACATCTAAATTTGGAAAGCACGACATTCAGTCTCATTATTTTTTGGAAATACAGTGTATCCATAGATGTCAAGGCTGGTACTAGGAAAATATTCCTGACGACGACGAATTTGCATTTCGTACAGCATGAGTTTTGTTCTCACCGTTGGGCGCATATATTTTCGATCACAGGCGAATTTACTTTCCGGAAAGAGTGTATAACATTGACCAAATATTCATGCTACGGCTAATCAAGTGCTCACCTAATGCATACTGCCGCTACAAAATGCTACCCATCGTTCTTGTTGCTGTAACCAAGTCTTTTTCCAGCGTTGCATTTAAAGGGGAATTCACCTCCAGTGAGTGCGGGCTTTTTCTGGAAGCTAGTTCCAAGTTCTGGGCAAAGCAGTGTGTGGCAATGACTCCGGAAACTGTCCCCAGTCACTTTTATAAACCAACATTAAATCTAATGACAGTCCTAGGATGTTTCATTATACGCACTGAATGTAAAATACCATATCATCTTGAGTCTAACGCAGCCATGACAATGTTATCTTCAATTGCAGAGGATATCTGTCAAGAGAAGACACCAAAAAGATCACCAACTCAAGAGTTTTTCATCATTTAAAACAAGTAAAAAGAAACTTGGAAAAAATAATTGAAGAGAACAAAGGACAAGAAGGCAACAAAAAGACAAAGAGTTGCGCAGAAGAAAGCATCTTATCAATTAAGCAACTAGAAAGAGATTTAGAAGATGACAGTGAAAAAGAAAGCAAGCAGACAGCCATGTACACTGAAGAAGGTGCTCAGTTTATTGAAAATACATGAGGGCCTGGAAAAAACAAAAACTGGAAGTACATCTTCAACAAAGGAAAAGCAGTAGGTTTGTTTAAGTTCTACAAATCAACTGACAGCTTAAAATCTTCGTATTATCACATTAAAAGAAGAAAGAGACAAAATGAATGATTTTTTTTATGACTACAATAAAAACTGTACCAAGCATATAGTTTGAATCTCTAAATTGTACGAAAAGAGAAGCGTTTTGTTTGGATTAGATATGAACTGACATAACATAGTGAGTAAAAATACATGAGGGCGGGACGTATAAAGTACTCATTTATGGAGAAGCTATGGAAAAAAAAAGATGTACACAATTTCACGCCCGTTGCCGTATCTCTTATTATGATATCCAAGAGCTCGTTTTTATTGGTGATATCATAGCACTCTATCCCAATAGCACTAGCTTCGGTGTTGCTTTTAATGACGAAGACTACACTAATTACGTTTATATCACCTCCCCATTATCAATTATTATAAACATCATTTCTTGTTAGTCTTGGTTTCATTTACGTCATAGCTAAGTTTTATGCAGCTATATCATAGATATCAAGCTCTGTTTCTTTCTTATTCTTTCTCTTTCTAAACATGTCCGATTTACCACCGCATAAAGGCGAATTAACTCCCAAACTGCAAGAGCAGTCTACGCTGATGGATAGTTATCCAGACTATTCCAACCCATATGCATATCCACCCAACAATAATAACTCATCTATAGATCACTACAGTAGTTCAACAACCGATCCACAGCTGCAAAAACTAAAGAGCTCCATTTGGAAAAAGGCAGGCCAGATACAATCAGCCATTGGCGGCCTAGCTCAAATAGAATCATGGAGACAGACTGGACAAAAGATAGAAGAAGAAGCAGAAAGAGAATATAGAGAGGCAGAGGAAAGGATGAACCACGGAGAACCAAGCAGGATTCATGGTGAATACAATCGTCTGATGGGTTTCATGTCTTATGCTGTAGGGCATATCGCCGGAGATCCAGAAATGCAAGCAAGGGGCGGACAAAGGAGTCGAGAAGGAGAGGAGGAGATTGACAAGAGCCAATATTAATAAAATTAAGCAATTTATTTTGTCTTTTGTGAGCCTTTACTCTTGGAAGTTGCCTTTAAAAAGAATGCGGTAATGACCGAGACGCCAGCAACTAAGACGGCAGCAGGCAGATATATGGAATACTCGTGAGGAGGAAAGTAATCTTGAAGTGGGTTAGTTTCTTCTAAAAAAGGCTATATTCTAATGAGAAAAGGAGGATACGAATTGCTTTCATCTTACAGTGATCAAGGCCCAAGTTGAGTAATAAATAAAGATGAAGGCTGCTGCTCCACAGGCTGATGCTCCAACAATCTTATCTGATGAACCCTGGCATAAACATGTTAAGAGCACGCGTACATGCGTAATGTTGTTCATTTTACCATTATTCAATTATAAAAAGAAAGGTCGCAAATGGACATTTCGTTCGGAACATGAAATTATACTAGAAGTCAAACGCTTGAATTTGCTGAAAAGGGGGATTAAGCATTGACAGAATGTTATTTTTATTCATGGTAGAACAATCAATAAAAAGTCTAGTATACAGTCAACACCCTAAAGAGAGGCTGGCGATAATATCTGTATAATTATAAAAGCATACCCTTAGTTCTCAAGACAATAGCTTATAGTGACAGGATCTAACACGAAAAGATAACATTACACGGGTGTCAATATTGTATGTACATCAAGGAATGAACTGAGTTTATTCCCTAAGTCTATTGTGATAAACCCTCAATAGAGACCGGTTTCAAAGTAAAGGATTCATAAAAAGCCCAAACTCATGTAGACATTATTTTACCTCTTGCAAAGTTTGAAAAGACGATTGACTTCCCCCATTCAACTGAGGGTTTCAATGAAGCAACTACTCAAAATATCTTTGCTTGACTAGCATTTATTTTAATTGCTATATTTAAAGAGTATTCCTCCATCTACATATAACGAATAATGCCTATTAAAGCTTGCTGATGCCTCAGATATCTACATCACTTAAGTGAACCCTAAACGACTTTACAGAGAAAAGAAGAGAAAAAAAATATGAAACTCGCTACAACAGTGAGACTCATCTTCATGCAGGTCGAAAGAAGTCCGGACCGAACCAAATTGCCGGCATTTGAATTAATTGTCTCCCTCTTTAGGCAAGGAAGGGTTGCCTGTAAAAATCCATGAAAGCATCCATCCGTGAAAACCTTCTCTTTTCCTGATCGAACTTTTCGAAATGGTAAAGCATCAATCCAACCTGATAAACGTGAACGAGGAGTGAAAGAGCAAAATACTTTGACGAATGGATGGATGAACGTATTTTGCTTAAAATCTTCTTCCCCTCTCTTTCACCAAATATATACAGTGGTTTTTAATACTCTCTCTTAATGTAGTCCGCTGCCAGACCTGTCATCAACGTCTACGCCGATAGTGGTAAGAACGTCGCTAGCACCGTTCCTCTCCCTGCCGTCTTCAAGGCCCCCATTCGTCCTGATATCGTCAACTTTGTTCACACCAACATGGCCAAGAACAAGCGTCAACCTCACTCTGTCTCTGCCAAGGCTGGTGAACAAACCTCTGCCGAATCTTGGGGTACCGGTCGTGCCGTTGCTCGTATTCCCCGTGTTAACGGTTCTGGTACTCACCGTGCTGGTCAAGCCGCTTTCGGTAACATGTGTCGTGGCGGTCGTATGTTCGCTCCTACCAAGGTATAATCATAGTTATAGATTAGTGAGCAATAGATATTAAACATGTATCAATAGACCTGGAGAAAGTGGCAAGTCAAGACCAACTTGAACCAAAAGCGTTTCGCCACTGCTTCCGCTTTGGCCGCTTCTGCTCTTCCCTCTTTAGTCATGGCTCGTGGTCACCGTGTTGAAAAGATTGAAGAAGTTCCTCTTGTCATTGACGACTCCATTGAAAAGTTGACCAAGACCAAGGAAGCCGTTGCTTTGTTGAAGGCCATCAACGCCTACTCTGACGTTGTCAAGGTCTCCAACTCTCGTAAGCTCCGTGCTGGTCAAGGTAAGCTCCGTAACCGCCGCCACCGTCAACGCCGTGGTCCTCTCGTTATCTACAACGAAGACAACGGTCTCGTCAAGGCTTTCCGCAACTTGCCCGGTCTTGAATTGGTCAACGTTCGTCGCCTTAACTTGTTGCAATTGGCTCCTGGTGGTCACCTTGGTCGTTTCATCATCTGGACCAAGTCTGCTTTCGCTCTCCTTGATGAACTCTACGGTACTTATGAAGCTCCTGCTACTTTGAAGAAGGACTACGTCTTGCCCGCTCACATCATGACCAACCCCGATGTTGCTCGTCTCATCAACTCTGATGAAATCCAATCCGTTGTTCGCCCTGCTGGCGGTAAGCACCACAAGCGTCCTTTCACCCAAAAGAAGAACCCTCTCAAGAACCAAGGTGTCATGAACCGCCTCAACCCTTACGCTCAAGTCCTTCGTCGTGCTGAAATCATCAAGTCCCAAAAGACTGGTAAGGTCGCCAAGGTTGAAAAGAAGAAGGGTGCTTCTACTGCTGCCAGCAAGAAGTTCTTGGATATCCTCCACTCTGCTTAAATTTAATAGCTTAAAATAAAAAACTCGATCGCGTTTTGTTTGCTCGGACATTAGAAATAATATGCAGAGGTTCACTGTTAACTTTTCCCGTTTTTCCCCTATTGTTATCCGACGTCATACGAAAGCTAAGTTTATATTATTTCTATTTTAAGTTCTTTTTTTCTTGTTTCGTTTTATATAAATGGAGCAAGACAATTCGCCTATGCCACCTCCGTTACCTGAACGGCCGTTACAGGCTACACTCATTGAAGAAGAAGAAACACCAGTACTACCACCTCGTCCGATCGAAGAGAGTAGAAATGTGCCAAGAAAAGCTCGTTCACATGTTACTGCAGATCTTGTTCCTGATCTACACGGCATTCTGACAAAGCAACGACTTTCTACTGAACTTGATACGAGTAACACTGCGCGAATAAGACAGGCTGTCACTGAAGCAGAACACAAGACGGTACCAGCTACAGCACCGACCAAAGCAGTAAGTATGCCAGGAACATTTCGAACGGGCTGGAAAGCGTTTTCTATTTCTTCCAATGTGAAACGAACCGACGTACTGGACGAAGTATTACCCAACTTTCTTTATGGACAATGGTATCATAATGCAATAGCCCTCTTTGTCACTGCCGCGGGTTCATTTATACTAGCAAAAATGAACGCGAGTATCGGAACGGTTATTCTGTTTTGCTTCTTTATTGGTAACTTTTCCCTCTAAACATGTACTTTTGTATACTAAAGATCTATAGGTCATTATTTCCGTACGAGTATGCGAAGGTTCAGACGGTATGCGAGAGACGATATTCAACGAGAGGTGATCAAGTTCAAGATGGAGGCCGGTGTTGAATCTGTAGAGTGGTTAAACAGCTTTATGCAAAGGTTTTGGCTTATTTTTGAACCTGTCTTGAGTGCCTTGGTTGTAGAAAACTTGGATAATTACATTTCTGATCTTTTGCCGCCTTTTTTGGATTCAGTTCGATTATCGACATTTACGTTGGGAACAAAGCCTTTTAGAATTGAAAGTGTCAAGACGTATCCTAATACTGATCCCGAGATTGTGGTAAAGAAAAAGACAAAAAGAGAGAAGACCGTTCTTAATTTAGTGTGTATAGTGCATGGATTGGAAAGTATCGTTTATACCGAATGACTTGAATGATTTGTCTTTAAAGGAGCTGGATAGAAAGGTGAATCCAAAGATAACCATGAATGTTAGGTTTGGTAAAGGTCGTATTGGTGCTGGATTTCCTGTACTGATCGAGGATATGTCATTTCATGGCCATTTACGTGTTAAAATCAAGTTTATGAGCAAATTTCCTTTTGCAAAATTGGTTGATATGAGCTTTTTGGAAAAACCACAGTTTGATTATGTCTTGAAGCCATTAGGAACGGATTCATTTGGATTTGATGTGAATTTGGTAAACTACTATAGGCGATACCCTACAACAAGAAAGGCTCATTTTATCTTGTGTAGATTCCTGGGTTACAAAGCTTTATTAAAGATCAACTTCATGCTATTTTGGGCCCTCTCATGTATGCTCCTAATGTGTTTACGCTTGATGTTGAAAAGATACTCTCTGGTGATTTTGACTTTAGTAAGTCTCCTCTCTTGTTTCCTCACTTTGATTAATTCCCCTTTCCTATCAATAGGCTCAGCTAATGGTGTGTTAGCTGTCACTGTCTATTCAGCTACTGCCTTTGAAAACGTCGATGATCTCCTAGACGATGATCTCCCCAATACATATATTCGATTTTACTTGGATCATGGACAAGAATTGGATCGAACAAGCGTATACGAGCGCTCCTTTTCACCACAATGGAACGAAACAAAGTTTTTGATGCTAAACAGCTTAAATTCACTCTTATCTGTGGAATTAAAGGCATCACGTCCAGGCTTAAAGGATAGAAGATTGGGAACTGCCAACTTTGATCTTTCTAAATTAGATAATGATATGGATACAGACCAGAAAGGATTGTAAGCTTTTGAAAGATAAAACAAGTGTGTATTTATTAATTTTTTCCATCAGGACTTTGACGCTCTTACGAAACGGAAAGTTTGTTAGTGATCTTTGCGTTGATCTACGATACTTGCCGATTTCTAAACCGACAAAGCGCGCGGATGGTACGATGGAAGCAGCATTAGAGTCCAGTAAGTTATATGTATATACACTTTCATGGTACAAACTAAACAGAGAATGGGTCAGATTCGGGTGTGGCTCGTATTGTGATTCATGAATGTACCAATTTGATATCCAAGGACCGTATCAGCCCATATGTTCGAGTGATCATGAACGGAAATGAAAAGAAGAGAACACATGTAGTGAAAAGAAGCAACAGCCCTAGATATGATGTTCCCTGTGAGGTTGTCATCTTGGACAAGACGAACGTCTTTGTTCGTATCGAAGTGATGGATGAAGATCAAGTATTAGGCAGCATCGGTGGCCAGTTTGTAGATTTGATTCGTCTTCAGCAGAATAATGATGGATGGTGGGATATAACAAATGGAGAACAAACTGTTGGACAAATTCACTTGAGTGCTGAATGGAAACCCATGGTGACGACAGGCTTATCTGATATTCTGGATGGTCATGAATTTAACAGTAAGAGACTCCTCCTTCCTTGCTTTAGAGACCATATCCTAAACTTTTTTTTGTCTTTATAATAGAACCTGCTATTGGTGTTATACGCTTTACCATCTGGGAAGCTCGTGACCTTCGCAATGTCGAGCTAGTGACAAACGGTAAAAGTGATCCTTACGTTCGTATATTGTCCGGATTCCAAGTGCGTAATCGTACCGAAGTCGTGGATAACAACTTGAATCCAGAATGGGGCGAAACGTTGTATGTCCCTGTTCATTCCCTCAAGGAAAATCTTGTGCTAGAAGCTATGGACTGGAACGCACGAACAAGAGATAAGTCACTGGGTATGACAGAGTTTAAGGTATCAGAGGTCATTCAGCAGCAGATAGGTGACCAAAGCGTTGATCCCGATGTCTGGTATGAATCAAACGGAAGAAAGATTGATAGGTAAAAATCAAAAGGTAGAATACGAGTCGAATCTAATGCTTTGCCCCCACACAACGTAGATGGGACAGATTACATTCTGCTGACAGACGATCATTTAAAGGCGAGCTACACTATTCAGCTGAATTCATTCCGGTCATCCAACTACCACAGAAAACAGAATCATTGCCACTTTGTACTCTGCGTGGGTCTTATGTTAGATACACGCCTGATGATTTGATTGATCTTGATTCATACAGCTCTGGTGTTTTGAAAATTAAAATTCACGAAGTTCAGCTTTCTTCTACTGCTTACTGCTACTGTCACGTGATTGTGGATGCTCTTATGCCTCAATATAAAACAGCCAAACTTCGCGGTGATATACTCCGGTTTAACGAGAATGCAGATGCGTTTATAAAGGAGATTGACTTTTCCCGTATTGCGATTGAAATCAAGCCAGCTTATGTTGATGAGAAAGAGATTTACAAGTTGGGCCATTGGATAGACACAGGCTCATCTATTGTTCGCCGTATCATGAAACGCAAGCGTGCAGGATATAAAGAGGATGAAGGAACCTGGTTTAACTTGATGGGAACAGATGGACCCGGTCGAATTAAGCTTGGATTTGATTTTGTCCCACTCGATGATTTTGTGCTAAATCCTGATGAAAGTCTTGACAGTAAGAGGAAATTGAAATACAAACATACAATAGCTGAATTATTTGTCTAGATCAAGGTGTCTTATCAGTGGACTTGTTAAGTGCTCGTGACTTGATGGCAGTTGACAAGACGGGCACCAGCGACCCCTATGTTGTGTTTACAGTCAATGGTGAGAGGTTATACAAGAGTGATGTTATCAAAAAGGCATTGAATCCCAAATGGAGCCGTGCGAGGTTTACTGTTCCCATTGTTTGTATTCCCTGCGCTTATCATTTTATGAGACTCATTGTTTCTATTAGCAATCAAGAGTAACAGCAAGTATACGAATTGAGGTATTTGATTGGAACCATGTGAAGGGCCATCGACCGATTGGCTCAGGTGGATTTACATTAAGAGGTGATGCTGTCGAGAGTTTTAAGGCTCGTCTAGTGGATGTACCACTTGATGGCGTAGAAGGTGTATCAGGCAGTGTGCAAATCAGATTAACATGGCATCCTCAACTCTTGATCAATAAGAAGACACAGACATCTGTCTTGGGAACCACTCGTACCTATGCTCACGATGATGTCAATCTGGAAGCATCTGGACCACTTTTAAGAGATGCTGAATCATCGCGTATATCTAGTGACAGCCAAAGGGAGTCCTATGGTCGACCTTCCTTAGAGTCTGATTCTCGCTTCAGTTTGGATGATTCAGTATCTATTGCACCTTCTTCCTTTATTGACGAAGATCAAGTCAGTGATACGACAGGACGTGATGGTACTGTCATGATTACGATTTTAGAAGCAAGAGGACTAAGAGGCGTTGATAAGAATGGAACGAGTGATCCTTTTGTTCGTGTACGACATGGAAGATCAGATATATACAAGACGAGATATATCTCCAAGACACTCGCACCAGAATGGTAAGAAAAACAAAGAGAGAGAATATATGTTAATCATGAATAGGAATGAGAATTTTAGCTTTAAAGTAACAAGTGAACCCTTTGCATTAGATTTCAAAGTTAAGGATCATAATCGACTTCGATCATCAGTGGACCTTGGACAGTATAGATGTAATATTTGGGACCTAATTAAACCAGGTCGTGGACAGAATGAATGTAAACAATGGTTACCTTTGTATCCTACTGGCAGTGGCGAACTTTATGTTCACATACAATTTACAGAATAAATGACCATCTTTTTTTTTTTTGCAACTCGACAAGTTGACAAGTGTAACAATTGAGGAGGGGGGAAAGTCATCAACTTTGTGTGTCATACTGAATAATATATATATGACGTAAAAAGGAGAGAAAGGGAAGTACTAAGAATTTTTTTTTTCTTACTCTTTATACGAGTCTTTCCAAACAAGAACAAGGGCCCTATTTTGATCTCGATACACTATTTTTTAAAGTCAATGGACTTTTTGACAGAGTAACGCAAAGAGTAATACAAACTTTGCAAAAGACGTCCTAATATGGAATTACCGTTTGAGTTTAAGGAGAAAACTTGTGTAAGCGACTCTCCTTATTGTCTCCCTGTTTTTTTTTTTAATCTTTTTCTCTTTCATCCTTTTTATATTATATTTTTCCTCTTTTTTCATCTAAATTTAGTCATGAACCATAATAACAACCATGATAGTGATATTCCTGAACGTATTGCAGCTGCCAGAAGAGAAGCAGAAGCATTGAAAGAACGTATCAAGCAAAGAAAAGAAGCTTTGGCTGATACAACACGTAATAATAAATATAATCAGCAAACAAGAAAAGTCAATAACATATTTAATAATAGTGCAAGAAATGGCTAAAGATATTGAACCACTGCCACGTATTGTGATGAAGGCAAAGAGAACATTAAAGGGCCACTTGGCCAAGATTTATTCTATGCACTGGGCAACGGATAAACGACATTTAGTGTCTGCTTCACAGGATGGTAAATTGATCGTCTGGGATGCTTTTTCAACCAATAAAGTGCACGCTATCCCTTTAAGATCTTCTTGGGTGATGACATGTGCATATGCACCTAGTGGAAGCTTTGTTGCCTGTGGTGGTTTAGATAACATTTGCTCTATCTATAACTTGAAGACTCGGGATGGTCCTGTTCGTCCTGGTCGTGAATTATCCGGACATAACGGATATCTCTCTTGTTGCCGATTTATTAATGACCGACAAGTATTGACGGCATCAGGAGATATGACATGTATGCTCTGGGATATTGATGCAGGTGTAAAAACCGAAGAATTTGCGGATCATACAGGAGATGTGATGAGGTACAACATTTAAGTAAATATATTTATTGTTTACTTATTCTATTCATCTAGTCTCTCATTAGGGCCCAATCCAAATATATTTGTCAGTGGAGCTTGTGATAGCACAGCCAAAGTATGGGATATTCGTACCAAACGATGCGTACAGACATTTATGGGACATGAATCAGATATCAATGCAGTACAATTTTTTCCTAATGGAGATTCTTTTGCTACAGGCTCAGATGATGCAACATGTAGACTGTTTGACCTGAGGGCAGATTGTGAACTAAGCGTTTACTCACATGAGTCCATCCTGTGTGGTATCACATCAATAGGATTTTCACCCTCTGGAAGACTCTTGTTTGGTGGATATGATGACTATAATTGTAATGTTTGGGATACGCTTAAATGTGAACGAGTAGGCGTATTATCTGGCCATGACAACAGAGTGTCATGTTTGGGCGTTGCCGGTGACGGTATGGCCTTATGTACCGGAAGTTGGGATGCTACATTGAAGGTGTGGGCATAATAAATATGTATAGTTATTTTTTATTATTTAATAGGACGCGTTTCAATGACATAGTAAATGGATCACAGAATTGCTTTAAATGTCTATATTCTTTATTCATTCTTTCTAGTTCCTTCGTCAGTCTTTTCATATTGTCGGGGTGATTTAAATAGTTTCTGTCGTCAGCCAGAAAGGACTGTCTCTGTAATAATAATTTATCTTGAGTTCTGCTTGTTCTTTTGATTTCTTGATAGTAATACATGCTGGTCTTTGCGTGAGAAAGAAGAGGAAAAGAAAAAAAAAGAAATTGTTTACTCTTTTAATCCTTTCGTTATATTTTTTTTTTTTGCATGTGATACAGTTCATTCTGTTTATGTCGACACTATGTGCACATCAGGCATATACACATATACACACATCGTTATCGTAATTGATCACTTTCCCCCTTTTTTTTAATGCTTGTTTCTCTCTTTGAATTGAAATAAGGTCATGTAGACGAAAGTGTATCGTCACTTTTTTTATGCATAATTTAAACTTCCAAATCGGGATATGTGATGACAGAATGACAGAATCCCTTTTAAACATGGTTATATATAAAGACACATCCTTTTTGTTTTTTTTGTTTTTTTTGCAATTGAATTCATAAAAATGTACAAATTAAACAATCCACCTCAACCTCCTCCAAAAGATAATAATGATAATATCATGAACCCTGCTTCTGCACCACCTATTCCAAGTGAGGCTGATCCCAAGGCCGCCAAGCAAAGAGCTACTGAACAAAAGTACCAGTTATTCAGCACTTGGCAAGCTATTCAACAAGGAAAGATGCCTCATAATGCTCAACTGGATGAAATGTTGGAAAAGTTGATCCAAAACAAGGTTATCTCTTCAAGAGAGCATTTGATCTCTGAAGACGGAAAGAAGTTATTGAATGATCTCCGTGATCTGTTGCAGACTGTAAGAAAGACTCTGTCTGTGAAGAATAAAGATGAGCTGTTCCAGTCTTTGGTTTATCATCTTCACTGCATGGACACGCCTATATCAACAAGTAAGTAATTATAAAAAACTTTAGCATAAAGCTAAATTGTATCACATAGGCGATATAACTGGAACTCTTAAGGAAAAACACGATAAAGAAACATTAAAGTCTGAAGGAAAGAAAGGTAACCTTTAGATATCTTACTATTCAAAAGAAACTTACATACTTTGTTAGCCTCTGAATCCCTTATGAAGATTACAAAATTGATGTTAACCAATCAAGAATTCCGCTCTCTCCTGGGTGAACTGATTGAAGTCTCTCAAGACATCTTCACTAATGTCACCTCCAAGGTGGGCGACTCACTTCAAGGCGCTGGTGATAGCCTTCAAGACGATCAAAAGCAAACATCTGACCGATCTGGAAAAGACCTGGTCGATAACGTCCTTGACCGTGGTCTTGAGGCCATGGACAGTCGTGGTAAAGAAGTGACCGGCGACGAGCCAAGACGAAAGAGTGGTGAACTGCTGAGCACGGATCCTAATGATCCCAGACATGTCGGTCTTATGAGCACAGGCGATACTGTTCACCCTAGTGCTATCCCAAGAAACGATTTACCTACCACATCTGCCACTGAAGCTACGGTTCCTCCTTCGGCTTCTCAAACCGCTGAAAATACCGCTAGGAATAAAGATTTGACATCCAGCGACCGTACTCAAGAGATGCGTGGTCAGGCCGAAGAGAACAAGAATAAGTTTAAGGACAAGGCTCGCTACCATTTGGACGAGCACAAGAACCATGCTCGTCAAACCGTGAATGAGAAGCTTCCACAGGAAAAGCAAGATGAGCTCATTGAACGCCTTCGATTGGTCCTTGCTCAAGTTCAAAAGCATCCCGATTACCAAGGTGCTATTGAAACACTCATCCAATTGATCAAGACATGGTCTTCTCGTTTATCCCAAGTCTCAGAGGATGTCAAGAGCAAAGCACAAACTCAAGATCATCCCGAAAAGGCCAGTTATCGTGAGACAGCTGAGCGTGAACTCAAGGCCATCATCGAATGCTGGGCTCAAGGTCAATCTATCGATCCTTTGTTGCGTGGCGTACAGAATGTGGTGAATGACATGAAAGAAGACCGCGAACTTCGTGACTACTACAATAATGTGTTGCGCTATGTTGAGAAATTGATGCGTGAACCTGGCTACGCTAGTCGCGATGAATCTACTGATGAAGGAAGACGCTTGATGGACCGTGGCCATGAAGTAATCCGTGGCAAGTACGATGATCATCTTCGTTTCTTAAACTCTGAATCTCGTCGCTACATGAACTTGATGGCAGAAGATGAAATTTCTTCTGAAATCAGTGACCGTATTACAACCATTCACCGTGATTTATGGATGGACAGGTAAGAAAAAACAATCTTATCCATTCGTATACAATATTCATTCTTTGTTTATAGTGAAGGTAACCCTTCATTCAAGCCTCATCTCTTGAATGATATGAAGCTGACACTCTTACCTGCTTTCATTGACGAAATTCACTATATTCCTGTTCCTCGAATTGAACACAGTGATCGACAATTCGATGTTGTGGTTGAAAACCTTGTGATCTCTGGTGATTCATTACTCCCCAAGGTATTTGATACCAAGGTCGAAGTCTTCAACAGCTTCAGTTTCTTGACCGAAACACCTTCAAGACCAAGCAGTCAAAGTCTCTTGATCCGTATGAGCGAAATTCAGGCCGACGTGGACGATGTCGTGTTCTGGTTTAATAAGAAGACCGGATTTCCTAAAATTCAAGATCGTGGCGTGGCTTCTTTGGCTGTAGGAGGCAAAGGTATCTCTATTGTTCTTCGTATTCGTAGCGTGGTAGAAGATCCTAGCAAGACATTCAAGGTGGACTATATCAAGTGTAATGTCGACAAATTAAAGGTCAAGGTGAATGACACCCACCATGATGTCCTCTACAAGATGGTTCTTCCTCTTGTCATGGGTACCATGCGTCGACAAATGGCCAAAGCCATCGAGAATGCTGTTGTTGAGAAACTGAATGCCATCGATCAACGTATCACACGCAGCATTGTTGACTTCCATCAAGGATTGCAAAACAGAGCATATGAAGCATTGCCCGAAAGCGAAAAGCAAAAGACCGAGCCTTACAGAGTATCTCAGAACCGTCCTCGTCCTGGTTTCTGGTCTACGATTGTTGCCCTCATCAATAATAACATCAAGTCCAAGGTTGAGACCCGAAATATGAAAAAGCAGCAGGACAAAAAGAGTCAAAAGGAACCTGAACGAGCAGATACATCAACAAGAAGCATTCCTCCTGCTAGCATTCAAACCGGTCGCCCTCTTCGCGACACGGTAGATAGTCCTCATAGTCCTCCCTTATCTCCTACCAAGTTACAGCATGATCATAGCAAGGACTATAAGACAGCTTACGATCTATCTGAGGCCCAGCTTGCTTGTCCTATTACAAAGCCTTAATCATTATGTGTGTGTAAATATGAAATATGATCTTATTTTTTTTGTGTGTAATAAAAAAAAACATTAGTCAGTTATTAATAATTTTCTGTAAATGATAAATGCGCGCATTTATAAACCCCGTCCTTTATCGCTGTGTACATAGATCAAGAAACTGCGCCTTGGCGTACAATTTGTAAATGGGGGAATATGAAACTATTCATTCAACAGATAGCAAATTCCGATCATGGTAAAACACGTCATGTTAACACGTCGTCATCGAATCATATAAAAAGACCAAAACTCGATTCCCTGTTTTTTGTTTTTTATCTTTATTTTTATAATGTCTATCGCACTTGCTGCCTGTAATACAGAAAAACCCGCGGGTATACCCGTACAACTCGAAGACTGTCAACGGGTCAAGTTGTTTCAAACCTACACACAAAAATCTGTCGAGTTACATAACCGAATCGTCGTTTCTCCCATGTGTATGTACAGCTGCCAAAATGGTTTCTTGAACCAATTCCATGTTATGCATTATGGATCATTCGCGTTCAAAGGTGCTGGAGCGGTGATTGTCGAAGCGACTGCTGTAGTACCCGAAGGTCGCATCTCGCCCAATGACTCTGGTATCTGGTCTGACGATCATATCGAGCCGTTATCTCATGTAGTGAATATCGTCAAGTCTCAAGGAAGCGTACCCGGTTTGCAAATTGCTCATGCTGGAAGAAAGGCGTCCATGTCGCCACCCTTTAAAGGTGATTACGTCGAAAGTGAAGAAAATGGAGGCTGGCCCAACCGTGTAATGGGTCCAAGTGAGATACCGTTTGCAGATCACTATCCAAAGCCTAACGCGATGACTAAGGCAGAGATTCAAGCTACAATTAAAGCCTTTGCTGATGCTGCTGTTCGTGCTGATAAAGCTGGTATTGAAATTTTGGAAATTCATGCTGCTCACGGGTAAAAAGTGAAATGATTGCTCTGATAATTTACAGTAAAACTCATCCCTCATTTTATAGTTATCTTCTTCACAACTTCTATTCAGGCAACTCCAACAAACGCACAGATGAATATGGAGGAAGTTTCCAGAATCGTATTCGACTCACTCTCGAAGTTGCCAAGGCAGTACGTGCTGTTTGGCCAGAACATAAGCCTCTGTGGGCTCGAATTTCATGCACCGACTATGTGAACCCTGACCCGATGGGATCAGATCCGGACGGATGGTCCATTGACCAATCCATCGAACTAGCCAAACAATTAAAGCAAGTCGGCGTTGACCTCATTGACTGTTCCAGTGGTGGTAATGTCAAGGGTGTTCGGTACCCTAATCAACCTCTCTATCAGGTTCCCTTTGCTGAGGCTATCCGTCGCCAAGCCCAGATTGCAACCGGCGCTGTCGGACTTATTGTTGAAGGTGAAGACGCTGAAAAAATCCTGCAGGAAGAAAAAGCAGATGTCGTCCTCGTTGCTCGTGAATTCTTGCGAAACAGTACCTTTGCTCTTTCCGCTGCTCAAGCTCTTGATGTCAACATTAACTGGCCAAAACAATACAGTTGGGCTGTCAAGAAGGCTCGTCGTCATAACACAACGGCCGATGAAAAGACTGCTCAGAAATAAATATGTTTTGCTTTTCCTCTATCGTCATTTCATGTTTCATATGAATAAGAAAAAAAAGAGGGGTGTAATTGATATTGAATCTTTGAGACAATGATTTCATATGTATCTCTGCTTGCCCTTTGAATTGTAAAGGTTTCAAATTATGCAAAAAAAATAAAAGATCCCCTTGGTTATAAAAGAATGTTATGATCTACTTCTTTTTTCTTTAACGTTTTCATACTATGCGTTTTGGCTATTACTGCATCACTGCGCTTGGATTTCTTCATCTTGTTTCTTGTCAATCAGGCGGAAATGGTGGCTCATCGAATAATGGTAGCAGTAGTACAAATGGTACCACTACCAATAGCACCATTTATGAAGTGTTGAATAGCACTGAGTCAAGTCCTGTCCAATGGATCTCTCAATTTTTGCAATCTTCTCCTAATTACGAGTCTCTCATTAACTTGCTTAATCAGTCCGAGACAAACATTACTGTTTTCATTCCATCGGATCAAGTCTATCAAGCGATCAGCAGCTTTACGAACAGTACAAACAATACAACTAGCGGCGGTGGTACAACCAATGGTGGTACGAATAATGGTAATTCGTCTAATAGCAACTCGTCAAATGGTAGCTCGTCTGGTGGCGGCTTATCTACAAATGGATCTGAAAACAACAGTGCCTCCTTTAATATGTCTCAGTACTTTACTAGTCCTTACATTATGAACTTTAACATGACCGATGTGATCTACTATCATATCGTCAATGAATCGATCCTTATCCAGGACTTGTTTAGCAATGATACTATGGGCAATGCAACCGTTGTAAACTCACTGGTTTCGAATGATACAATCAACAGACTAGGCTATGGCGTACAACTGCTACTTCAAAAAATCGAAGCCAATCAGACCAACGGCACTGAGACATCGGGCAATCAAACCAACGGCACCGAGACTTCAGGTAATCAGACCAACAGTACTGAGACATCGGGTGATCAATCCCCTACCCTTGTCACTGATGGCTCGTCCAATAACAACACTGGATCTAACTATACGATTGGCAACGGTTTTGGTTATGCTACGATCAATACAACGCAAATGGTCCAAACTTCCAACGGTATCATCTATATTATTGATAAAGGTAAGGCATTCGATCATTAGATATAAATATATACTTATGATCTTCTTTTGTAGTTTTGGTTCCTCCTGTTGATTTTAACCTGACACTTGAAGCTCTGCCAAACATCACTCAGTTTTCCAACTTGACTACAGAACAGTTCAACGTCACTCAATTTGAACAGCTATTCACAACACTCAACGCTACAAACTCATCTGCTTTTGAAACCTTGGCAAACATGACGAATGTAAGTATTGCAGTGTATAAAAACACATACTCATAATCTGTAGGCAACCTACTTTGTGCCCGTAGACAATGCGTTTGCCACAACAGGACAGTCCCAAGTGGACAACCAAACCCTTCCTAACTTGTTGGCCGCACATATCGTTCAAGGTGTTTACTACACAACTAATATAACAAATGCCACAGAGGACATTACTGCACAATCATTAGCAGGACAAAGCATTACTTTGAGTAAGAACGACACTAGCTTCTTTGGTACGTATAACTATGTCCATCAAAACATCTTATTCATACTAACCATTTCTCTAGTTAACAATGCAACTATCGTGGTTCCCAACATCTTGCTTGACTCTGGAGTTATGCATTTGATTGATACAGGTATGATCTTGTTGTAAAATATAAATCATTTTATTCAACATATGTGCATCATTTATAGTGTTGAATTACACGTCTGGAACTGGAAATAACACCACAGGATCAAACAATGGCACAGTCGTCCCTCCTCCTCCACCACCTGGAGGCAGTGGCGCATCAAGTAGTGCTGCTACACCCACAAGTAACACGATGAGCAGTGCATCTTCTGGCCCTACATCCTCTGGCTCTGAAACTTCTGCTGCTGCTACAAGTAGTAGTACAGGGGGCAGTACGCCTTCAGGTGCTTCATCCACAACCTCTGCTTCGACCGGCAGTGGTACTGGTAACGCTTTCCCTACGCCTTCTACAGGGCCTTCCTCTGAAGCAAGCATGAATGCTCCGGCAATGTACCTCGCTGCTGTATTTGCTGTTGTTGCTTACGTATTTTAGATGTCATCTGGATGGTTTTTTTTTTTTTTTGGTATAATAAAGAGGAAGCTTTTTATATTACGTGATTGTTTATCCTCTCTTGTTTTTCTTGTATGTATATCGATTTATACACACTACCTATTTTAATAGCTTACTATATGGGCCAGCAATAAGGAGACTCCTTAATGTAGTCTCCCTAATTATTCAAAAAGATAATAAAGTGTTCAAATAGAAACCGCTTGTCACATTATACAAACAGAGAAGGCCTTTGTCAATTGCGTAACAAATGATGGTAAGATAAAGAATGCTCTCTCTGTGGACAGAATCAAACTATAAGTTCATTTTATAAAGAGACCAAGTTTAAACAAAAAAAAAAAAAAAAAAAGGATTCCTCAGTTCTTGTGCTATGAGTCCTCCCCATTTTCTTATATTGGCTCTCGAGATAAACATTTTCTCTAAATATGAACAAGATAAGTCATGACTAAACAGGATCGAGTTCGCTAACAAATAATCATTTCGCCATAGACATTAGTGTCTCTATACGAAAAAAGAAATCTGTTTATTGTTATAATTCATACTAATGCTGCTGGTGGGTATAAGGTGGAGACGATATGGCCTGAAAAGGATAATTTGTATAGGTATAAGGAGGTGAAGCCATCTGAGGCGGTACATAGGACGATGTGATCACACGAGGAGGTTCTGGTAAAGGTGACGGTAGTGAATAAGTATCCTTTTTTTCGTCCTGGATGGATGCATCATCATCAGGTTCTGCGCGATAAGCTCGTTCATGCTTTAGCCGCTTTTCGTGCCATAATAAGATAGCACTGATGGCTGTAGTGGCAAGCCAGGCAAAGAACATGATCCAACTGAATCCTGCTGCTGCTTTGGCACATCGGCACTTTATCATCTTTTAATAATTGTGTACTTTTTTTTATCTTTTTTAATTTACCTGATTTAACCAAACGTCCTTATAATCTGAATCTTCTTTTTCAAGTTTCTCATCAAGTGAGCAGTCAGAGGCATCTACAGTCATTGAGATCATACCAATGAACCAAGCGATGGATAAAAAGGCAGTAAAGATCATATTGGTTCTTGGCCTAACAAAGAATCGTTTGAGTCGGCCAGGTATCTTGGTTAGCCTTGTCCATGGAAAGAGTGCCAGCAAAAAGGCAATGATTAAGCTTTTCAAGGTGATAACAAGAACATAATTAGGAGACGCTTGACTGGATCCCTAACGTTTTGAAGGTTAGAAATAACAAAGAGAAATAGTGTATTTACTTACATAATAATGTCTTTCTGCAGATACGATAGGCGTGACCAGAAAGAGGATTAGAAATGCAATCAAGATCTGCATACAGTGTAGAATGACCTTGTAGATGCCAAGATAAGGCAAGTTCTCAGGAAGATCGTAGTCTAAATCGAAATAATCCGCAGATATCATAAAGAAAACATATGTTTATTAACAGACAGAGACAGAGCGACAAGATATTTAAATATGTGTTTGTTTGTTTGTTACAGCTGAACCATATATGGGATGTTTTTTATATACCAAATTTGGGCTGTTTCTTTATTCTATATTAGTGATTTATAAACATATCTAAACGTATCCCAGCCCGTTCATTGTCCTTGTCTGCAGCTTCTCAAACCATGTATCAAAAGAAAGTCAACTTTAACGATAGAGGCATATGTATGTGCATATATTGTATCATGAAATAGAAAAAAAGAATGTTATATTGGCGTCTAAACCGAAGAAGGTAAAAATAATAAATCATTTAAATAACTTTCAATCTTTCTTTGGCTCAGATCTGTTGCTTATACACTAAAGAAAAAGATGCCTGTCAGTCAAAAACAATAAATTAATCTCCCCTCTCCTCTTTCAATTGATATCAATATTTATAAATAATAGGCAATCTTATTTCCAATGGAATATAGCAAATCCTATTTCTTAAAAGCAACAACGTAGTCCAATTGCATATCACTTAACTTTTGTATATCCTATTCATTTGTGAATCACTTGGACTGTCAATTTCATTTAACATAAAAGGAAAGTAACACAATGATAATCATCAATAAAAGGGAAGCAAAATTTTTGTTTTGCCTTTTTCCAATTTCATCCGCGGAAGCAGTAATAATACCTCGGAATGATTTATTTAGTTTCTAATTTTTTTTTTATTAATAGACAGGAGAAAAACATGGATAAAGCATACACTTTTTTTTTCTTTCTCTCTCTTTCTTTCTTTTCTCCTAAATGCAGAATCAATTGATATCTAGTCACGTGCTTCCAACACCTTCACCACCACCAGAACCTGAGACAGACTTTAAAAATGAAAAGATAGTAATACCGAAAAGAAAAAATTGGATAAAGATTGTCCAGAGACTATTAAAAGAGCTGGATGGAAGAGACAAGATGATGAAGACAATACAATATTTTATAAAGATCCTTTTACACTATAAACTCATTCGAGCCAAACACTGGTCAACGATGGCAAGTCAATTTTCAATGACAAGAAAGATACTTCGACTAGGCACAGCGGTTGGACCCCTTCAGGAGATTGAGCCCAAGTTAAACTATCATACGGCGATCTTGTTGAATGAGATCATTAATGGTGTGTCGGATGATATCTTTTGCTTTCATAAGCTTGGATTTGTCAGTACGTCTATCGGCACACGTGCTGAAATAATATCAGCTTACTGTTGGTTTATTGGTATCCTGAATGATATTAAAGATCAAGTGCAGTCACTGAAAAAACTACAACGTAACAATGGAGACAAGGACAAGATCTTTTTGGCAGAGATTTCAATCATCAAATTACTCATGGATGCCGTATTTTGTGGCAAGTATATCATTTTATTTAAAAGTGCTGGGATATTCATTCTCTCTATATATATTTAGCATGCGATATCTATCATCCTTCTTATAGTGCTAGTGCTCAAGCTTGGTCAGGATTCTTTAGCGGGTTATTAGCAGGATATAAGCTATGGATCAAGTTTTCCTTGTAACATGAGGCTTTTCAATCATCGATAACTTTAATCTGGCCGCATTATCCACCATACCCTACCCCATTTTTTATCATTACTATTACATAACTATTAATTATTTATAAAAAGAATACCTCACTTGGTCGATCCAGATCCAACCCTTCTGCTGAATATTCTTGCCAGTTTTGCCAACTCTCTGTGACTGGTCTAGGTACTGGACATGATGATATAAATGATAGAATAAAATAAATACATCCAATAATGAGATCTAGTATTCCTGTTGCTAGTAAAAACGTATGACTGTTTGATATGACTACACTTCCTAGACTTCAACAAAAATAAGTAACAATACAAGATAATGAATGATTCTTACAGGATGAGAAGTAGACCCTTTCCTTTATGTGTCAAGACAAGTCTACAATGATCTGAAATGATTCGAAATGGTTTAATCTCTGTTAGACCAAGTATGATACCAGATAGAAAACTAGGACAATAAGAAAACAAGTAAAAAAACCAATAGAAATAAACTTACAATATATAAATACAAGTTAATATCTGAGATACATCTTTATGTTCTATAACCATCTTCATCATCGATGCTGCCATAGTGATGATATAAAGACATGTGTTGATGAAGTTGAACCCAAGACAAACAATATTTTCAACTTTAGTCTTTGAAAACATTCGAGAATTAAAAAGAAAAGAAAAAAAAAGGGCCTTTTGGTTGACTTTGTACATTTTGTCATTTGTTTTGCTATTTTCTTTATTTAGTTATTGTCTTCAGGCACCAACTTTTAGTTATCCGCCGAGACACACTTGCCCCTTATTTTTCCTAGTGTGCGCTTGTTGAAATGTATTGTATTTCAATTTTAGGATAAAAGGAGAGAGATGAAAAAGAACGTCGGTTACTTTAGGATAAATACTCATTTATATCTATTTAAACCGTTCGATTTGAATAAATATAAAAAAAGAACAAAAAAGTTCGCTGATTAAAAAACCATTTTAGGAACGATAATGAGTAATGTAAAGCCGTGTAACAGGTCAAAAGCCTAGATGTGGCATAAAGAAAACTTTATGTGTACTTGAGTGTCATTATTAATCAAAAGAGAACCAGATGATATATAAAATGCACTTATCAACTGCTTAGATAACAAATGAATGAGTAGCAGTGTTGTCTATTGTTCTTTTTTTTTTCTTTTCGTTAGAGAAAATAAGCTTTCAGTCTTAAACAGAAGAGCAGTTTATCATTTACTTGACATGAGTTTAACAGATATACTGAAAGGACTGCTTAAAATCAGGGCACAGTAATAAATATCACTATAAATGCCCTTTATATGAAAAGGAGATGGCAGATAGTGGTAGACGTTATAGGCAGATAAAGAACCTTTACAATGATGTTCATTATTTTTATACAGTGAAGATAGATAGTTTACGCTACTGGATTACTCTATAGTTCCTTGAAACGCCGTGAAACCGCTGGTTATTCGATAGTGGGCACCATCGACGAAAAGAGAACTGAAGACACTGCCAACCATTCCTGGTCATAGTGTGCTCAAATGTAACAGCTGCAGCATACTGTGACAAAGAGATATTAATGCAGTAGTCAACCTCATGTATACAGCAACGTTCATCTGGCATGGCCAAGGACGCCTTCCCCCCCCCCGATGGTCTTTAAAAGATCATAAATAGTCGCCGTACCAAATACGGTTTGCCTTCAGGGGCTTTAGGGTCTTTACAGATAAGATGTATACAATCATACGCTAACTATCTTGTTAATACTTTTTAGTCGTCTCATTTTTATTTATTCAGCTTGTCTTATGTTTTAGGTTAAAAACCTGTAAAAGACTTTGTTAAAATATTACGTCAAGCTCTCTTTTTTTGAAATTATTTTTTGAATTATACGATGTGCAGAAGAAAACAAAGGGCCATCATATATTATGACAAGCATAAGGTATTGTTAATTAGATGACTTTTTTTTTTTATATTAGGAATATATACCTTGAAAAATTCAGTCTCAAAGGAGTACGACACGTGTAACAGACATTTCTACCTTTCTTTTCCTTTTTTCTTCTTTTTTTTCTGTATCAATGCAGCCTACACATAAACACCATCGATCAATGCCATCACTTTCGTTCTCGATATCGAATATAAGTCACCAATCATCACCAGGCACATCAATGCATCATAAACGACACTCAGAAACAATATCTGTCAGGCGATGGGATGATTCCCAATTAGAAATGGATTTGGCTGAAGACATGGATGATAAAAGGCAACCTTTAGTGTCCAGAATGAAGTACAAGCTCTCTCGATATAGACATGAATTCAAAAAAATGGCTACTTGGTTATCCTCTTGACATATCTTTTATATACTTTACATAATATATTATTTTTAAAGCTTAAAGCTAGGTGGGTCAAGGACAATGTCGGGATAGTTTGGATAAGCTGGATTCAACCAAGCACCGCCTTTTTTTAAAAAAAAAATTGATAAATCATGTCTTTCATACCCCGCGTATAACTTACCATCTACAACCAAGACAACACCGGAGATGTAGCTTGCTGCTTCCGAGAATAAAAATACGGTTGATTGAGCAATATCTTGAACAGTTCCCATACGTTGTAGAGGAACACCTCTCAAATCAAACGCAGGGCCTAATTTTTCCATACCGACTGTTGAAGCCTAAAGGTCATATTTAATATTTGTTTTTCTCTTTTTGATCTATACTTACAATTGGGCCTGGAGCAATGCCATTAACGCCTAATAGGAAATGAGTATATAATTAAAAGTCATCAAAAAATATCAAACTTACGAACACCATGAGGTCCTAACTCAACAGCCCAATGCTTAGTCAAAGCCTAGCAAAGAGATAAGTCATGTATACTAACAAAAGAGTCTATTTAATTACATCGATGGCTGACTTGGCTGCACCTGCGTGTTGTTGGAAAGGCGTGCCTGTGTAATGTAATGTGGCAGATACATTGATAATTGATCCCTTGGACTTTTTCAAATGTTCAACAGCGGCCTTAGTCAAATTGAAGGTGCCTTTTAAACTGTTAGTCAAGCCCTTTGTTTTTCTTCAATAACTTACCGAGTAAATCAATTTCAATTACAGTACGGAAAGCATTATAAGACAAATCTCTAAATGGAGCCAAGAAGTTACCAGCAGCACCATTGATCAATAAATCCAGACGACCGAAACGAGCAATGGTTTCCTTGACAACTCGTTCTGTATCTGCTGGGTTACGAACATCGCCTGCGATAGCACTAAGAGGGTGTTTTAATTATATCGTATAAAAGCTCGGTCTATATTCTTTACATGATCTCTCCTCCTGTCTTTGCACTCATTTCCTTGGCTGCCTTTTCTAACTTGTCTTTGCTAAAAAAAAAAAAAAAAAAATGTTGGTGATTACGTAAATGACAAAAAGAGTGTGAAATGTACCTTCTGGAGAAGATGACAGCTTTGGCCCCATGTCTTACAACTGCCTCAGTCATGGCTCTACAAATACCACTTCCTCCACCTGAACATAATAACACTTTTCCCTTGAACAAGTTGTCTTTGAAAATTTCGGTGGTCTCCATACTGAATAAAAAGAGTGAAGTAAAAATAAAAGGGGGAAAGAGGAATCATTGTATAAATATGCAGCACATGCGGAGATTCAAGGGAACATGTCTCATCTTTTTTTAACCTTGTAAGGAAAAAATTCTTTAACATAATCATATTCCTTTAGTCATGTAGGAAAAAAAACAACTTAATGTGGAACAAGACTGATGGAATGGGATGAGCCTAATAATTTTATCCTCATTAAAAATAAAAGAAAAAGAACTAGAATAGTTTATTTTTCTATATTCCATGTCCAATGGCATAGAAAAAAAAAACTGTCACGAGTCAAGGGTTTACTTTTCTCTCTCTCTCTCTCTCTCTCACATTCATGTCATTAGCTAGTTTCTATACCAAAACATTTGGCCTTGGTGCTATCATTGGCGCAAGTATGGAAGTTTTGTTAATAAAAAGCAATTACTGTGAGTATTTGTCATTTCATGAGGTTCAGTTAATTAATCTTATAAAGACCAAATGTTGGCTGCTGCAGAAGCTAAACAAAAACGAAAACAACTTTTAGAAGAACAAGAGGCGAGAGAACGAATGACACGACTGACAAGCCAATCTTAAAAACAACAATGTTCAACCACGGAAGCGAGAAAGAAAAAACTGTTTTTCAGAAAGAAAGAAAAAAAAAAAACTAAACATTTTCATGCAGTTCTTTATTTGGTAAAGGTTTTTCTCTTTTTTTTCTTTTTTATACTTTTTATAATTTCAATGGGTGCAGCATTAAGTTGTATTGCTTTACCTGCTTTAAGCTCAGTGGGAACATGGCTTGCAAGTTGTTTTTCAGCAGCAGCTTGTTCACTTGCATTTAAAAGGTGAATTCAGGGATATTAATCAAGGACAATGTGTGACTCATTGAGCATAAATAGCTGCAACTGTAATAATTCTATAGCAACTCGTATAGGCTATGCAGTAAGCACACATATATGTAATATTCTTTAAGACTAAATAAACTTGTGTCCTTAGATCATTTTTCTGTTTAATTCCATAGTAAGATTTTCTCTCTCTTTTTTTAATGTTTTAACTAACAATGTTAAACAGCTCGCATGGCTCATGTTGTCTAATTGGGCAGTCAAAAAACTAGAACACCTTACTTTGGATTATATGAAATTTGACTGTAAAGAAGGCAGTTGTTATGGTGTTATTGGAGTAAGTCATAAGGACATTACAAGAAACACACCACTCACCTATACACAGGTTCATCGAGTATCCTTTGCCTTGGTCTTGTTCCATGCTATCCTTGGTTGCTTATTGATCGGTGTACATGACAGTAGGCAAAAGAGAGCAGCGATTCAGAATGGATGGTGGGGGCCCAAGATCCTGGCTTGGATCATCTTGGTCGTCGTCTCATTCTTTATCCCAAGCGGCTTCTTCATGGTCTGGGGAAACTATTTTGCCTTATTTGGTGCGGCTGTGTTCATTCTCTTCGGTCTTGTTCTGCTAGTCGATTTTGCTCACAGCTGGACGGAAAAATGCATGGAAAAATACGAATACGAAGGATCAAATCTATGGAAGAATATATTGATTGGTATACAAATGAACTCAAAGGTGACGAAAAAAGAAACTCATCTTGTCTATAGGTGGAACATTACTTATGTTTGCTGGAGCAATCACGTTAACAGGCATTATGTACGGCTACTTTGCTACGAACGGCTGTTCCCTGAACCAGTTCTTTGTCACGCTCAATATGATCCTTTGTTTACTTGTCACAGTCGTCTGTATATCTCCCAAGATACAAGAAGCCAATCCAAGATCAGGACTGTCTCAGGCATCCATAGTCGTCATCTATTGTACCTATCTAGTTTTGTCTGCTGTGGCCAATGAGCCTAATGATAAGGAATGTAATCCTTTGCGTAAATCGATTGGTCCACAAACAACGTCTGTTGTCTTGGGTGCGGTCTTTACGTTTTTGGCAGTCGCTTATTCTACAAGTCGTGCGGCCACTCAAGGTGGAGCATTTATCAGGAAAAGTTCGGGTAAACCCAAGTTAGGAGACAATGAACCTTTAGATACAGCCAGTGCCGTTCCTCTTTTACCAAATCAAGTAGAAGCAGGTGTCAAACGAATGAGTGCTCAAGGCTATGATCGAGAGCATTTGATTGCTGCTGTTGAAGCAGGGTATGTTGCATGAATATCATTTATGTATACCATATATGCCTAATCCTATTATATACAGTGCACTACCACGATCTGTTCTTTATGAAGATGAAGAGGATGAAGAGTTTGATAATAGTGATGATAAAGATGATGAGAAATATGGATCGTTATATAATTACTCATTCTTCCATTTCGTATTTGCAATTGCTGCAATGTACATTTCTATGGTCTTGACAAACTGGTAAAGGTTAAATCTTTATGTACGCAATCAATCATAACAATCACACTAGGAATACGATTCGATTTGAGGACACATTAGGAAGTGATGGTGGTGACCTTGTTCGTATCGGACAGAGTTACACGGCCGTTTGGGTTAAGGTTGTGTCGGGATGGATATGCCACTTGATTTACATATGGTCACTAGTGGCACCTGTGTTAATGCCTGATAGATTTGCTGTAAGTTTTATTTATTTATTGTGAATGACATGACTAAAAAAAGTGAATGATAGGAATATTAAATGCTTTTACGTATTCTTTATGTATACTATTATCTTTTTAAAATGATATAAATCGAACTTACGAAATGAAAATAAGGAGAAGAAAATATGAATTGTACTACTTCTCCTTTTTTTACTTTTAAACTGGTTGTGTATTCCACCTCACACACACACACACACACTGTTTCTCCTTGGATATCATCCTAACTATTTGCCCCCTTTTTTTCTCTCTTTTTTCTTTCTTTCTTTTTTTTTTAATATAAAATAAGATGAAGGAAAACATGTCAAAACAGACTATTTCAGAAACAAAATTACGAAAACTATTAGAACTCAATCAGAAACTAAAAGAACAGTTGGATATTTCTCGTGTTCCTATCTCAGAAGCCAGTCGATCGTAAGTAACTCAAGTTTTTTAACAACATTTATCTGACTTGTGTTATTAGACTGATTGAATACTGTCAGACGACTCAAGATATGATGATTCCCTCAATATGGGGAAGTAAAAATTCTGATCCATTTACTGAGCCAACTGCTGGATGTGGTTGTAGCTTGATGTAATTCTGTACTTAATTCATTAAAACATTGTATTCTTTTTTTATTTTGCAGCATATTTTAAGGGAGTAAAAAAAGAAGGTCAAACTGTTCTTTTTTTAGCCGTTTAACGCGAAGAAACGAAAGAGATAGAGAGAAAGAGAGCGACTCATATGTGTGTGTGTATTAGTGGCCCTTGGAATCCGTTTCTCCCTATTTTAATGATCCATGTATGAGTTTGCTTTGACCTTGTTCGAAACTATGGCCATCTTTGCTATGAATCTCATACTCGTCTCCATCTTGGCTTCCAGCATTTCGCAGTTTTAAATCACAGGTTCATTGTCATTGTCATGTTTATCCAGAGAGTCAATCTACTTTTGGCATTATGCCACATGTAAATTATGATATTCGAAAGGATATCAACGAGTCTGATAATATTGTCAAGAGAGCCACTTGCTTGATTTGGTATTTACATAAATGTTCATGGGTTACAATGAGCAAATGAAGTTTACAAATTCGCACACAATGATCAAATCAATATGACGCATGGTCAGAATCGTCTTTGTATCAAGGGATGTACCACTTTTATCTACCAACTCTTTTATGTTTGTTTATTTTTTCTTTATCGTTTTTCCTTTTTTTTTTTTGCTGTTCTTACAAGCAAGAATTCAAGATAAGGCTTTCATATCTCTCAGGTACACTGACCCTGAAGGATCAAGGATACTCTTCTTTACTTCCCTTATACAAGATTGATTCCAAGATTATACAGATTAATGCTCAAGCGTCTTGAAGACTTGTTCAGCAATTTGAAAGCTTGATAATGAGTTAACTTTATGATACATAGCCATGTTGTCGCAACATAAGTAAAAGATATTGCAAGATGCTTCTGGTATTATCCCCATCATATTCTTAGGTAAACATAGTGTAAAACCGTAACATCTTTGGCTTCCTCTTCAATCCATGTATAAGATGGTATCTATTCACCTTTTGGTAATGCCATCGATGTTGCCCAAAGACGCAGGTATTTGTTATAATGAAATAGGATTATTGCATGACTTATCACGATCAATGCGATTGAGCATGGTGCATCCCATAAAAATAACGTATTCTTTTTCAAGTCTTTTTTAAGATAAACATGACGCCCATTTATGATTTTGAAACAAATTAACTGATTAACGAGGAGAATTGTATCTTTATTAGCGTTGCATTATGCATAAGAAAATTAAAATGAACAAGTGTATTTATTGTTCTATGATATGATTTAATTATTAAAAAAGAGTACCTGAGGACAAATATCATCAAATGACTAGCATTGGCATGAAAGCTCTTTATTATCAGCATAGTTTTGCATGTAATAGAAACAAGCTACAGGTCTATAATAGTAGTTGTCCAACTTTTAAGTGTACAGGCGTATTGAGCTTGGCTTCTGGAAGATTGTATGTAGATTACTTTTTGGCACAGAGTTACTTGTATTGACCATCGTGATTATTTGATCTTTAAGCTTCAGAAAGTGAAACAGATGCCATTGTTTTGAGACCAGGGCCAGATCTACGCAGATTCCATTATTCTTCTAGTTCTTTCCATTTCCTGATTATATTCATAAAGTTTTATCGTCCGTTTCTTTGATTGATCTACGGACCTGGTCATGTAAACACTTTAAGAGGATCAGATTCATCAAGCTATATGGGAATGATTAACAGCATACTAGAGTTGTGTAGACAATCCAGAAGATCATAATTGATCTGTGCTAGTGATAGTCCATGAACGACGCCTCAATACATGTGTTAGACCCTGTAGAAGACACAATCGACCCTCCTAAAGTGAATCCATAGACCGTACACGGGGCTAGCGTAGATACTCGAAAAGGTTACTGGCCTATGATGGATGAACATTCATGAACAACACGTTTGTTCAGTCATCAACGTATGAGCATGTTTAGCTAGGTTTAAAAAAATGAGAGAAAAAAAAAGATTAAAAAAGGGGGAAGGATCTATTTATCAAAAAATTTGATTTTATGCATTCACATACTTCTTTGTTTTCTTTTGTGTACACTCGTATGCTTCTTTGTTATCTTTTGTGTGCAATCATTTTGAAATTTTCATGCTAGTACTTTTCGCTTTTGGTTTAAATTTCTCTCAACAGGTCCTACTTCTTTGTCTAAAGGCACTTGATTCTCTTTGGAATGCAACTTAAGAGTCTCCAATAGAGTTTTTTTTTATCGTTCTTTTTTCATATTTCCTTTTTTGAAAAGAGTAACAAATAAAAAAGCATCAAGCACCACAGCCTTTACCG